ACACCTGTAGGACAAAGAAGGGAACAGATATTCAAGAATTTTGCCTAAGGCTGATGAAGTCTGAGGTAAAATAATAGGGAAAAGATTTTCAAGCAGTATCCACTTCCAAAGGATATAAAAGGCAAGTCCAAGCTGGGTTTGCTGCCGGCGGTGAAGGAGCCCTGACCCACAGCAAGGACTCGCAAGCCAGCTCGGAGCAATCCCACCTGGGCAGACACATCTGGGTGCTGCTGGGTGCACGAGTCTGGGAGTGCCAGCAGGTGAGCTGACCTTGCTTATATCTTGTAAAATAAAATCACCTTCCCCTTCTACAATATCTCACGTTGAGGTTTTTTGCAGTTTCCCATGCTCTGCTCTGTTTGGTGCAGTGTTTCTTTTGCTCCTCGTGGACCTGATCCTTCTCAGTAGTGGTGAGCCGAGCAGGAGTGGGTGTGGGACCTGGAGGACTGTTGTGATCCCACCAGCTGTGCCAGGCTGCTGGGCAACCAACCCCTCTTTCCTCCAGCCCCCCTTATTTTATCCTAATATTTCTTTTCCCAGGGAAAGATCTGATTCTCCACCAGGATTTCCAACTTACCCAACTTGAGATAGAGTCAGCCTGGGGACAGCTTTCAGAGCTGACCTCCTTGCAGCTCTCACTGACCAGCGTTGTTCTCAGCTGGCTGTGACCAACCACTTTTCTCCTGTGTTTGGGTTTGCAGGAGCCTTCACCATGATGTTCGCTAACAAGAAGCACTTCACCACTGCCATCGTCGGGGCGCTGATCGCACTCTCCATCATTGCCCTTGTTCTCAGCCTAGTGAAGATTGAAGATGTCACCCTCCCACCCACGGTCAAGGTGAGCCCAAAAAAGGGTCCCTGAGCACCACTGCAGAGACCAATCACCTTGGGCAGGTGCTCAGAGACAACGCTTAGTTAGGGTTAGGAGGTGAAGGGTGGTCAGTAGGACCTGCCTTGTAGTAGCTGGGTGGGTGTTTTCTTCCCATCTCAAGATGCAGGCAGAAGAAATACAGCTTGGCCACTTAGAAGTCAGGGAGGGAAGCCTCCTCTGAAATTAGCCACCGTGCTACGCGCTTGACGTGTTTCGAGGAGATTACCTTGGGGCAGATGGGTAGGGCAAAGCCCTGCCCCGCTCCCTCTGGCCTCCCAGGGCACCGCACCGCAGGGCGATATACCTCCGCATGGCCTTTGTTCCTGCCAGCTCCCACCGGCCTTGTCCTAACCCGCTCACACGACAGCACAAGCATCATGGCTCCTCCCCGTCCCTCCCCTGCAGCTTGGCATCCCACCCTGGCTGCTGAAGAGGGTTGGCATGGTTTCAGGGCTTTACTGGGGAGAGGCACATAGCTGGGTGCTCCTGGACCAGGGCTGGTGTGGCCCTGCCGGTCTCTGCCCAGGCTGGGTGCAGCCATGGGGGTAGCAGAGAGCACTGGAGGTGGCGGAGTTGCTGGCCCCAAGGTGAGGCCAGTGTAGATACAAAAGGTATGTAACCAAGAAAGAAAATAAAAAAGCATGCGGAAACAAGCAAAAAAATGTTTGTGTGAGCTGGCATTGCTGCACAGACCTCAGGTGGAAAGGAACGAAAAAGCCCCTCACTTGCTGTTGAGAAATGCCCGCGCTGAGGCCACGCACTGTCACCGCTCTGCTCTGCCACGCTGCAGATAGCTGTGCCTTAAAGAGATGTTTTTTGGGGCATCCTCTGGCCCTACGACCCTGGCAGGGCCATGATGGGGCGAGGGGCAGGCTGCTGCTCCTCCCGCCAGCACGATGTCTTGGTTTTTCCTTCCAGTATGGGATGGTGTTTGATGCAGGCTCATCCCACACCTCTCTGTTTGTCTACGAGTGGGATTCAGACAAGGAGAACGATACCGGTGTGGTCAGCCAGACCTTGTCCTGTGATGTCCAGGGTCAGTATCTCCCTGCCATGGGCTCGGTGCTGCCCTGTGTGGTTGTGTGGCGGGTGGGACGACCTGGCCCTTCCTCTTGTTGGCCTGCCCAGCTCTGTCCATCTGTCACTGCTGGCACGGTGGGGAGCCCTGGCTGCAGGCAGGGTGGTCCCTGGCCCCGCTGGCTTCACTCATGGTTGGCAGGCCCTCAGCACATGTAGTGCCCACACGGTTGGTGGGACTGAGGCACCTTGGTGTTGCTCTGGATTTTCATTCCTCCACCTTGGACTGCCCCCAGCTGCCCAAGCTGCTGTCCTGCCTGGGGAAGGTCTCATCCATAGAGCTGGGGACACTGCTGAAAGCATGGGAGATGTGGGGAAGCCATAGGAGATGAATGTAAGCGTGCGTCAGTCAGGTCTCAGGGGACCCTGGCTAAGCACCCTTTGTTGCTAAGGCGTGACAGACCTCGCTGCCCCATGTCCTCTTGCTCCCACATCTCTGTCCCCAGCCCTTCCCCTCAGCCTGTCCCAGCCTGACTCTCTTCCAGGGCAAGGCATATCAAGCTATGCCAACGATCCCCCGAAAGCCGGTAATTCCCTAAGGGAGTGCCTGGATAAAGCCCTGAAG